ATTAGTGAGTCACATGAGGACAACTGAGAGAGTTTTTTTAAATATTCCCCTTCTGGACTCAAAATCACAAACTTCATTAGATCGAATTTGTCTTAAGGAGTCCCTAGTGTAGATGTTGTACTAGTGCCTTAAAAATAGAAGACAGTAAAGACAGAACAAGTCAAAATTAAAAGAATGCAAAAAATACCATTCTGGCTCACATAAGACTTCTGCATGGTCCAATGATGAATGTATGGCAAGGACAACATGAAATCATTGAAATGGGACATAATCCACTATATGGAATTGCCATCATTTTTCTTATTCTATCTGATATTTCTTAATTTTTAAGAATTTCTTAAATCTTAATTAAAAGCCATATACTTTTAATTCTCAAGAGTCCAACACAAGGAAACATCCGTAAGTTTCATTGGTATTTCCCTTTTTTGTAAAAGACAAAAATTATTAGAAAATAAGGTCATCTCAATTCTACTCAACATCCAATTCTGCCATGTTTATAGCTAACTTAAAAAAATCCCAAATCTATGGCTTATATTTGAGGCCATCCAACCATTGCTACAGCCTTCCATCCCAAGTTAACTCCAAATACCTATAATGTTCGAAACCTACACTCACCCCATATTTATTTCATATTTCCTGAGAATACTATGCATATTCCTATTCTCATGATTTTTTTTGAGCTCTTATCTGGTTATATGATCTCCTCCTACTTTCCTATTCTAATACTGAACATCATTTGAGGTCTGGTTGATACATAAGCCATCCATAGAGTTCATTCTTATCCTAAGGATCATTTCCTTCACCAAGGAAGAAATGATCTTTAGTCTCAAAATTCCGGTTTTTTTCCAGGGGTATAGAACTCTTTACACTATTAGATAGTCAATTTCAATAAAATTTTTGGTTTTTATTGATGAAAAAAAAAAAGGTGGAAAGGAAAAACACTGCAGAATCCCTGACTATTTAGAGCCAGCAGTATAGGAATGAATGGACATTCAGAAAAGCCGACATTTAAAAAAAGGACCAAGAATGACCAAAAATTTGCAAATAACCTATCAGATAAAAGGTTAATATCCAAAATTTATAAAGAACTTATCAAACTCAACACCCCAAAAACAAATAATCTAGTGAAGAAATGGGAAAAAGACACATGAATAGACACTTTTCCAAAGAAGACATCCAGATGGATAACAGACACATGAAAAATACTCAACGTCACTCATCATCAAGGAAATACAAATCAAAACCACAATGAGATACCACCTCACACTTGTCAGAATGGCTAAAATTAACAACTCAGGCAACAACAGATGTTGGCAAGGAGGCAGGGAAAGAGCAACACTTTTGCACTGCTGGTTGGAATGCAAACTGGTGCAGCCACTCTGAAAAACAGTATGGGGGTTCCTTGAAAAACTAAAAATAGAACTACCCTATGACCTAGCAATTGCACTACTAGGTATTTGTCCAAGGGATACAGGTGTGCTGTTCCAAAGGGGTACATTCACCCCCAATGTTTGTAACAGTGCTATAGACAATAGCCAAAGTATAGAAAGCCCAAATGTCCATTGACAGATGAATGGATAAAGAAGACGTGGTACATATATACAATGGCATATTACTTGGCAATGAAAAAGAATGAAATCTTGCCATTTGCAACAATGTGGATGGAACTAGAGTGTATTATGCTAAGTGAAATTAGTCAGAGAAAGACAAATACCATATGACTTCACTCATATGTGGAACTTAAGATACAAAACAGATGAACATAAGGGAAGGGAAACAAAAATAATATAAAAACATGAAGGGGAACAAAACATAAGGGGCCCTTTAATACAGAGAACAAACTGAGGTTTGCTGGAGGGGTTGTGAGTGACAGGATGAGCTAAATGGGCAAGGGGCATTAAGGAGGACACTTGTTGGGATGAGCACTGGTTGTTATACATAAGAGATGAATCACTGGATTCTACTCCTGAAATCATTATTATATTATATGCTAACTAACTTGGATATAAATTTAATAAATAAATAAATAAATAAATTTTAAAAGGATACTTATAAACTATTTAAAAAAGGAAGAAAGAAAGAAAAGAAGGCAGCCATGTATCCCCAAACAGAATTCTGGCTGTGTCACTATGAAGCCGTGAAAATTTGTGAAAGTATCCTTTTCCAGATATAAAATATTACGTAATAAATATGCATATCCAGAGTAAAAATAATGATCCAAAAACTCATTTATGTTAAAACAAACAGGTTTTTCACAGGTGCCAAAGGAACCACAGTGTAAAGTGGTATCAGTTCCACTGTAGGCCGAAGGACTGGGTGTTGTGAGAAGTCAGTAAAGCCTAAAAAAGAAGTCAAAAGAAAGCTGAAGAACAATTTTTTGTGACAACTGAAAACATTCTCGCCTACAATGGGAGAGATTTAGATTGGCTTTTTATTTTAAACTCAAAGTAGAAATAGCATATCATTTAGAGAGTTGGATGCTTACACATCCACATATGATGATGAAATGAAGTGTAAATTTTTATGGTTAACATCTGCACTGAGCATGGAAGAACTAGAGAAGTACTTTTGAGTACATACGTAAAAATCAAATAGACTAGCAGTGGACCAAAAGTTTACTTCTTAGTTTTAAAATTTTTATAAACCTAAAATTATTCTGGTACTTCGCTGACTTAGCTTTCCTGTTCTTTCTTATACAAATTCATATTCCATTTCATAGTATTCTATTATTTTGTCATTTGCCCATGGATTGTAAACATTTCTTAAAAATATGAACTTCTTAGAAAGTTAACATGCTTGTTTTAGATATTCTTCTTATTTTAATAGGTGGATTGTCAAGGTTGGTATGAATAGAACTTTCCATGTCTTGTGAAGTGAATCCCCATAAATGATCACATCTTTGAAATTGTAACTGTCTTTTTGCTGGCTTTCTTAAAGAGCATTTTCCAAAAGCTTATGTTATGTATTGGAATATTCCCAGTACTTTTTGGTCATTATAGTTCTCACTTTCAGACTACCGAGTTCAATCAAGGAACTGCCAAAATACCTAGAATTAATTTTACTACAATTTTCTGAGGATTAACATGGCCAAGATGTATTAGTTTCCTAATCTTGCACAACAAAATACCACAAACTTAACAGCTTAAAGCAACACCCATTTATTATGTCACAATCACATACATTAGAAGTCTGGTCATAGCAAGACTGGGTTCTCTGCTTACGTCCCATTGGCTAAGACTAAGTGTCAACTGAGCTGCATTCTCATCTGGAGCTTGGGCTCCTCTTTCATCTTTCTGCCACTTAGTTATGGCAGAGTCCAGTTCCTTAGAGTTGCAGGATTGAGGTCCCTATTTCCTTTGTAGCTTTCAGCCAGAGTATGCTGTCAGCTCCTTGAGGCCTTCAGTTTCTTGCTTCATGCCTCCCCCTCCCACCCCATCACTGAAGTTAGCAGTGGAACACTGAATCTATCTGGAACATCAAATCTTTTACTCCAGATAGATTAAAAGAGAATGTCATCTCTTTTAAGAGCTCACCTGATTAGATGAGACCTGAAGATAATCTCCTTCTCTGAAATCAACTGCCTCATATAGGATAAACTAACCACTATATTCACAGATACCTCCACACTTAAGAGGTTTGAGATATACGACGAATGGGTCATGGAGATCATCTTTGAATTCTGACTACCACACAAGCCATCTAAGGTCTAAGGAGAAGTACCAAAAACTGCCTAGATAAAACAAGTTTGAAATATCTCTGAAGCTTGGACAAGAGATAGACAAGGAGTGCCTATACATTGTTAGTGTCCTTAAAGGCAAGAACCATGTCTGTGTAGTTCATCACTGTTTTTGTAGTACCTAGAATGGTGTTTGGAATAACAAATGATTAATAAATAGTTATTGAATAAGGATAATGAATGAATAAGAAATGCTCTTGCACTATAGAGTGGAAAATGGGAGAATAATCCAAAACACAAAGTCACATTGATGTCAAGACCAGGTGTTCACTGAAGTCATATGAACCAAGACTAGAAATCTGTAACAACCTAGATGGATAAAAATCGACCAGTTCAAATGAAGAAAAAATCAATGGGCAACTGGGGAACAGAGAATAAGGAGATGAATTCAACATGGATATTTTGAAGGAAAATATAAGCAATAGATTTTGGTGAAAAAGAAATACAGGAGTAAAAGCAAATGAAGCAACTCCCTGATAATTTATAAGGGACTCAAATCAAGAGCAAAGTTGAAGAAGGGATACTAATCCCTCTAATACTGGATGCAAGAACATAAAAACGATACCACGTATAAATAAGTGTGAGGGAGTTTTGTGGGCAGTGGAAAGAAGAAGGGTGGGAGAAGTGAACAAAATTCCCAAAACTTAATGAGTTGGTAGGAAATGAGATTATCTACCAAGAATATGCAGGATTTGAAACTGTAGGCCCTGGGGAAAGAGTGAAGGTTTGAAATATTACTATGGAAAATGGTCAGTTTACTGGTAAACTTTTACAAGTAAAATTTTATAAAATTTTATAAAGCACCAACTAATGTTGATGTTAAAAAACTTATACTTAATATAAGAGAAATTTCTATCAAAACTTTTGTGGGGCGCCTGGGTGGCTCAGCCAGCTGAGTGTCTGACTTCCTCTCAGGTCATAATCTCACGGTTCGTGGGTTCGAGCCCCGCATCGGGCTTGGTGCTGACTGCCAGCTCAGAGCCTGGAGCCTTTTTCAGACTCTGTATCTCCCTCTCTCTCTGACCCTGTCCTGCTCACACTGTCTCTCTCTCTCTGTCTCTCAAAAATAAATAAAATAAAATAAAATAAAAAACTTTTGTGCACCAGAATAGATCTAAAAATTTTGCCTATTTTTTTGGCCATTTGTTACAGAAGGATGACATAGGTGCATGAACATTAAATGTCCCAATGAGACCATAGTTTAAATGACCTCTAATGGAGTTAGGCTCAGAAAAGAGGAAAGGGAAACCAGGAGAAGATTGATAAACAAAGAAAATGGAGTGTCAAGAAGTGGTAAGTCTTCTTAAGTTTGCAGAGTAGATTGAGTTAGAATAAAGTGCAGAGAAATTGAAAGAATAGCAGATTTTGTTCAGAAAATGGGTAGTTAAGGATTACAGTTACAGTTTACAGATTAAAGAAAGCTACAGCTAAAGATTGCAGACCTGCAGTGATCACAGGGATAATAAATCTAAGTTGGAAACAACATGAAAGTTCTAGCAGAAGAGGGAAAATGTGTTTTTGAAGTTAAAGAAACAAAGGAGCTCTAAGACCAGATAGTAAGTGATCATCTTTTTATATGGATGTTGGAATCATACAGCACAATGGCCAGAGATGACTTTGGAAGGACTATGAACAATATGCTGTCCTTAATAAATGTGATGGAGTGTTCACTACCCTGGAGGCTCTGAGAATACCTCCACAACAAGAAATCTATAGAAGTATGAAGTGTAGAAGAAAAATAGAGAGGAAAAACAGCTTTCACTCCAGGGCTTTAGTTGTGGCTTAAAGGAAAGCCCATATTCATTTATGGTGAGGAGTTGGATTTGTTCTATGAAAAACTAAAGATTTAGGGCATACCAACTTGCACTTATAATAATTAGATTTGGTGACCACTATAAGTAAGAGAATAAATATATTACATTCCTTCATAGCTAGTGCAATAATTTCATGTTGTCAGTCAATACTTATTGTCTTTTTTGGATAGAGTAACAATTTTTTATCATGCTACTAAGAAATTGTGTGTGTGTGTGTGTGTGTGTGTGTGTGTATAGGAGAGGCGTGTTTGTGTGTGCATATTATATATCATATGTTATATTATATCTGTCTTTCTATCTCTCTAAACTTTATAGAGTCAAAGTTAGAAACCAAGTATTGCTTAACAAAAATGAGAACAGCCAAGACTATGGAGAATCCCTACTCACCTACAGTATGTCTTCCTTCAACATATTTGATCAGTGAGTAATTCATAAAGACTTGAAAATTTTAATCTTCAGAAAGAGGCCAAATCAGGGAATTTAAGAAACACAATTTTTATTACTATTTGTATCTACAATCTTGGTATCACAAAATTTACAATCCTAGTTGAAAAACAATCAGATGTTAAATCCTTTGTATTGCAATCATTCCTCTATAAAACAATGATTCACTTACTAAATAAGTAAGTATTTCGCACCTATTATGTTCTGTTGTGAGCAAGGCATTTTAGGCATGGTGGTGTACAAGTAAAATTTGCCTCTAGAGTCTTAGACGTTCAAAACTTAAACCCAGAAAATGTAATCACTGTTTGAGATACAGAAGCACATGTGAAAATTCATAAAGAAAAAAGTCATGCTAACTGAAATTCTTTTAAAAAGAGTCACTTATCATTATTTTGAGGATGTTATTAGTTATTATTTAAGGAACTTCAAACATGAAAAATAAAATCTCTAGTTCCTTTCATGCTGACCATATCCATGACAGAATAATATGACTTTTAGACAATATAATTCCGTTTTGTCTTCTTCCATGCAAGAATTTGACTAAGTGATTGACATAACAATAAATAATGGAAAAGGAATTATATTTGTCTTTATCTGATTTATTAACATTATATATCAGGTAGAATAAAAAGTTTACATTCATGCCTTTTTGACTAATACCAAATCAACCAAAAATAGTTTTAACATTTAATAACAGAGATGAGCTTCTTTCTTAAATTAATTATGTAGATTACAACAAAGAACAAGATCTCAAATTTTCTAAAGAGTGAGGCATTTTCATGCATAAAAATTTTGCATATGTGTTATTTAAAGTCAAATCATGTACACAAGCCTATGTTAATACTGTCTTAAAGTGTTTTAAGTAAATCGATTAGAAGTTGTAGCATTTAAAATTACATGATGTGATTTATGTTGTGCTTTCTGTGAGAAGTACAAGCACTCCTGATACCTAGATTTCCCATCATTACTTTGAATTGAAGAAAAGAATAAGATCAAATTTTCTAGGTATAAAGTAATAGATTTTGAAATCATTAACAAAGGAAATGATTCCTATTAAATCTGACATAACACATATTTAAAAAAACAACTGTGAAACTTAAAAATAAAAAAGGAATTAAAAAATATTTCATGAGTCTACACGGGTGACCCGTATCTACAGCTAATTTGTGAAGTATCTTCCTGAATTCCATCTTCCTGTCTCTTCTCTCCGTTGTACTCTTCTTGTCTTCACAGTTATTCTTTTCCCTTACCTTCTCTCCCCATCTATTAAAGAAGCAAAATGTCTGCACTGACCTGTATAGACAGAAGACCAATACAAAACATTTTATATTCTGATTTTAAATAATATGGTTTGGCAAAAGATAGATTTTTAATTAAAACAAAGTTAAGAACTGATTTCCAATTATTACTAAAACAATCCATGGCTATGACAGAATTGGAATATAAAAAGTTAAGCATACAGAAATCTACATATGTAGAAGCCCATTGCACACAGACACATATATTTTGAATACACATATTCTCATAATATGTATATATTCACATATATATTCATAAAAACATGTTATAAAATCCTAACATATATGTTATTTTGAAATGTGCTTTTTTCACTTAAAACTGTAATATAAAAATGTCTCACCACCAGTGGCACTCTTTTTTTTTTTAATGATAGCTACCCAGGGTTGATGAGGGTATACATAATTTGGCACTCCCATAGCTAAAACTGTAAATGAGGTTAGCCTTTCTGGAGTGAATTTAGCAGTACATTTCAAGAGTTTTAAATACAACTTAATGATGGTAAAATGTGAAAGTCTCTGCACCTCCCATTTTGGATATGTAAGAATTTCCATTATAAGGATATTTGTTACAATGTACTTTATAATTTCCAAAAATAATAACATACCAATATATATAACAAGAGGCGCCTTGCTAAAATATACACATGTCATATACCCATGCCACATAAAAATACTTTACATTAAAATTATGTAAATTAAGGAAGAAAATGAAAATGCTTTAAGTTTAATGCGTATACAATTTTTGCACAGGCATTGTAACTATTACAACCTCAGGACGGATTCTTATTAATAGTACTATAAAAAGGAGAACGAGACCTACCACTTAAGTACAGTTGATTTATATAGCATTCTAGAGAAAGCAAACTAACACACAGTGACAGAAAGCAATGATTTCCTGGGTGGTGGAGTGGGGACGTAGTAGGAGGGAGGGACAGCACAAAGGGAACTTTGGGGTGATGTTCATGTATACTATCTTGATTGTGATAATGATTTTACAGGGTTATACCTATGTCAACATATTAAATTGTATGATTTAAATATTCACAGAAGTTCATGTTTTTAAATCTGATTTTAAAATGTGTGTGTTTATGGTTTCTCAACTTGGCCTCAAGAGGCCTGTTAAAATGTAAAAATGTCTGACAGTACTAAGTGTTACTGAGGATGTGGGGCACCTGGAACTCTCATATATAGTTTTGGTGAAATGCTTCATACAGACGCATTGGAAAATACCTTGCAATTTCTTAGGAAGTTAAACATATGACCAGCAATTCCACTCCTATATATTTACTTAACAGAGATACAAAAAAATATGCCAACAAAAAATTGTTCCTAAGATTACCGATGATTCTGTCACAAAATGTAATGACTAATTTTACTTCTTTTAAATGTTTCTTATTTCTTTTTTTCAGTTTATTTATTTTTGAGAAAGAGAGAGCAAGTGGAGGAAAGGCAGAGAGAGAGAGAGAGAGAGAATCCTTAGCAGGCTCTGTGCTGTTGGCACACAGCCAGACACAGAGCTCAATCCCATAAACCATGAGATCATGACCTGAGCCACGATCAAGAGCCTGACACTCAACCAACTGAGCCACCTAGGCATCCCTGTTTTATTTTTTTAAATATATATATATGTATGTATGTATGCATATATATATATATGTATGTATGTATGCATGTAATCTCTAAGTTCAACATGGGGCTTGAACTCAGGACCCTAAGAGCTAGAGTTCCATGCTCCACTGACTGAGCCAGCCAGACTCAGTAATGACTAATTTCAGTCCTGATCTTTTCAATTCCTCAGTGATTAACAGTCCTAATTGCTCACTTTTTTCAATTCTGTTTTCCTTGTCCTCCCTGAACCATATTGTTTTCTTCCTACATATTTAACACTTCCCTCTGTTTCACCTTTGAGATCTCATCCTCCTCAAACCAGCCATTAAATGCTGTTATTTTGGTTTATTTTTAATTCCCTTCTCTTCTCACACTATGCTCTCTCTCTAGCTTAATTGCACCCATTTCCATGGTCTCTAAATTAATACCTCACAATTAACTATCTCCTAAGCGCCAAGCCTTTATCTTCAGCTACCTATGGAACATACCATGTGAATTTCTCCAACTTTCCACAATGTTGGAGTGGTTAGGTGGCTGAGTGAATTAAGAGTCTGACTCATGATCTCACAGGTCTGTGGGATCGAGCCCTGTGTTGGGCTGTGCGCTGACCATGAGGAGCCTTCTTGGGATTCTCTATGTCCTTTCTCTGTCCCTTCCAGCCTCGTGCATACACACACGCACACGCATGCTCCCTCCATCCTTCTCTCAAAATAAATAAACATTTAAAAAAAAATTTCTGCAAAGTTAGTACACTGTAGGATATACATCTTCCTACCCACACAGACCTGACATTCTCACAGTATTCACTATCAGTAAATGGCAACATTACCTATCTAATCCTTTAAAACCTAAGCTGGGGGTGCCTGATGGCTCAGTTGGTTGAGCTTCCAAATTCGGTTCAGGTCATGATATTGCAGCACAAGTCATGATCTTGTGGTTCGTGGGTTCAAGCCTGACATCCAGGTCTGTGCTTGACAGCTCAGAGCCTGGAGCCTGCTTCAGATTCTGTGTCTCCCTCTCCCTCTGCTCTTACCCTGCTTGCAATCTGTCTCTCCCTCTCTCAAAAATAAAGTTCTTAAAAACTTTTTTGTGGGGCGCCTGGGTGGCTTAGTCGGTTAAGCGTCCGACTTTCGCTTAGGTCATGATCTCGCAGTTCGTGGGTTCGAGCCCCGCGTCAGGCTCTGTGCTGACTGCCAGCTCAGAGCCTGGAGCCCGTTTCAGTCTGTGACTCCCTCTCTCTCTGACCCTCCCCTGCTCACGCTGTCTCTCTCTGTCTCCTAGAAATAAATAAAAAACATTAAAAAAAAAAAACTTTTTTGTTAATTTAAAAATTAAAAATAAAAAAAAACCTAAACTGCAATCAAGGATTTTTGATACTTCCCATTCCATCACCTCTCACCTCAAAGGAATTAACCCAGTTCAGGCAGCTCACACATCATTTCTAAATTCCGTTAATTTCTCTCCATCTATACTGCCTCTCTCTAACCAAAGTTATTCTTCATCTTTCACCTGGATTGCTGCAATAACTGGCTTCCCAAAATTTATTCTAGTCCCTGTCCAACCTGTTCTCCATTGTAAGGTAACATTTTCAAAATGTAAATCTGATGTTAACACCCTTGCAATCCTTCTTACCCTACGTAGCCCCATTATAATCTTTTTTTCCCCTGTTGTCTCAAAATGATGACTGAAATCCTGAATACATCAAACAGGGCACTATTGTTTGTGTGGTCTGGTTCTTGCCAACCTCTCCAGCTTTTTCCCTCCTCTTCCACCCTGTTCTCTCTTAAGTCATTCTCTTCTATCAAGGCTTCCTTCCTCCACAGGTATCTTACATGTACTGATCCCTCAATAGAGAATTCTCTTTTTGCTCTTCGTCTTCACCTAGTTAACCCTTACTCAATGCTCTGATCTCACGAAAAGGTCATTTCCTTTACTTTTCCGTATTAGGTCAAGTTCGTCTGTTACATACTTTTCCCGAATTCTTTTATTTTCTTGGAACTTACGTGTTTTAAATTATACATTCATTGATTTGACTAGTGGCATATTATTAGCTCCCCCTCTAAAGTGTAAGCTCCTGGAGTGCCTGGGTGGCTCAGTCGGTTAAGCATCCGACTCCAGCTCAGGTCATGATCTAGCAAGTTCGTAGGTTTGATCCCTGCGTAGAGCTCTGTGCAGATAGCTCAGAGCCTGGAGTCTGCTTCAGATGCTGTGTCTCCCTCTCTGCCATTCCCCTGCTCATGCTCTGTCTCAGTCTCTGGTAAATAAATAAATGTTAAAAAAATTTGTAATAAAAAAATAAAGTGTAAGCTCCAGGAACAATGTATACTTCATCTAAATTTCCAAAGGTATAAATTGCACTTGAGGTAGTATTTCTCACAAATAAGCTATGTCTCTGGAAAACAGATCTCATCATGACTCGTTTTAAGAACGATAGCAATTTTTGTATTGTTGTATATATCCTGATGGGTAACTGATTGTTTTTAATATACAAGTATGTTTGTAAGTTTTTATAAAATGTGGATCACAAATTCACAGAAGGCTTTCATTGTAGTAGGTGTCACTATCAAAGCACTTGAACACTTGGTTCCAGATTGTTATTTTCCTGTTTTATTTTCTTTTAAAGATGGCCTGTTGTCCTTTGATCTGCTCTGACACCTGCACCGACCTACTTCTCGCTTCTTAAGGGGTCCCTGTAGGGTCCCAGGTCATGTGGATAAAATTAAAATGGAGATCACGTGATTGAAACTATTCTTCACAACTTCTCCCAAAACACACAGACAAATATTCAAACACTTGGATCTGATTTTCAAAGTGTCCAAAACAGCTTTTAAATTTTGTATCTCCAATTGAATCTAACACCAATAACAAAACCAGAAAGTACCTAAATGTTATGTTTCAAAATTAATAGTTTGTGACACTGCATGATCATACCCCTTTCACTGACATTCTAATATTTCCCTACTTCTTCAGAACAATTTCAATAAACGATTTTTAATTCCTTTTCCCCCCCAGCTGGCCTTTCTGAAAGTGTGTCTCATCCACAGTATCAAGCGATCAGGTGAATATTACACTTGTTTCATGTTTCCTCTGCAAAATGCAAACAAATGGGGATGGAAAGTAGGAGATTCTTTGAGAATCATGCAATAATTCTTCATCTGTTTCTTGGTAATATGTTTTGTGTTTTCAGTAAAGGCAAAAGAAAAAGTGGACTTAAACAGAAGTCAACAAATCCCTTGCAAAGAAAGAATTGCATAGAATTTCTGAGAGTATTAATTTATAGACTTGGTAAAACTACTACAACGTATATCAGTGAACAAAAAACAGAGTAGTATTTATTATAAAATATGAACTTTAAACTCTACAGAAGAGTCAAAGAAAATTACTTTTTTAAAATATTAAGTGACTTGAAAAACTTTATAAATTTCAAACATGGATACAGTTTTACCAATTATGTATCTCTACTTCCCAGATCAGATGCATCATAATTCTATATACATTTTGGTGACTGTGTATTCTGAAACATCATTTAATATTGAGACACTTTGGCAATAATTTAGTAGCTAAGTAGTCTCTGAAGATAGGAAAGGAGACAGTTAAAATTAATTTTGTATCCTTCTCACTCTTCCTCCTAGCTTCCCAAATCAATTTACCATCTTTTTGGGCAGTTTCCAAAAAGAACTCTTAATTAAACAATCCCCAGATTAAATACAGTCCCTTTTGCTTCTTCTTTATCAGGCCATTATCTCTGGTATAGCTCAGCCAAATTAGAAATTCAGAGCTAATTTGAAATACCTCTTGTTTTCTTACAGCTTGAAGAAAAGATAAAGGTCAGAAGCAGGCTTAAGGAGATGGACAGAAGTCCTGAGTGAGAAATAAACAAAGGAAGTTCCTCTGCAGTAGAACTATTTAAAACATATGCCAATAAAATGTTCAAAGGATTCCTACAGGGCTCCAAAGATAAACACATGCAATCTTTTTTCTTGAAAAACTACTTACCTGAAGCAGTAAACTCAAATACACAGCATGGTTCTGTGAAAAAAATACAAGAGATAACCCTATAATATTTACTAGGAGTTAAAACTTAGCGCATACGACAGCAAAAGTTTATCCCAGCCCAACCTGCGATTAGCTGTGTGACTTGGGGTAAGTTCTTTAACATCTCCTTGCCCCCCACCCCTTGCCTTATCCGTAAGGGAAATAATTACAAATACCCACCTCACTTTTTTTCCTGAACCTGGGAATATGTGTTGGTTTCTCAGAGCTGTTGTAACAAAGTATCACAAACTGGGTGGCTTAAAACAATAGAAACGTATCATCCTCTGGTTCTGGAGGCTAGAAGTCTGAAATCAATGTATTGGAAGGGTCACACTCCTGAAGGCTCTGAGGAGGAAGCCTCCTTTGCTTCTTCATAGGTTCTTTTTTTTTTTTAAAGTTTATTTATTTATTTTGAGAGAAAGAGAGAGAGAGAATCCCAAGCAGGCTCTGTACTGTCCGCGCAAAGCCTCACACGGGATTTGAACTCACAAAATGTGAGATCATGTCCAGAGCTGAAATCAAGAGTCAGATATTCAACCTACTGAACCACCCAGGCACCTCTAAATGCAAAATTCTTATAAACAGGTCAGTCACAGTTAATGTTCACTAAATGCCAGTTATTACTACTAATTTTATTATCATCAGTATTCTATTGAGGTGGTGCATTATAGGGGCTGGACATTGAAAACTCTAACTTGTAAGAAACATCAACAATAAATCTATAGAAAGTGAGGAGACTCACTTGAAAAACATTGAAAAATTAATGAGAATACTCATAGTTCCTCCTTAGTCCTCACATGATGAGAGTTAAGATTTCAAACGAAGGCTATTTTTCAATATATTTACTGCTGGCTACACTAAAGTTCAGGAGTTTGGACAAAAATAAACAGAAATATGAGAAAAAAAATGTAGGAGACATTAAATATGAATCCAGAAGGTCCAGAAACAGTAAAAATAAATTAGAGGGGGAGGGGGATTATTAAAGAAATAATGGGGGCATCTGGGTGGCTCAGTTAGTTGGACATCTAACTCTTGATTTCAGTTCAGGTCATGATCCCAGGGTCATAGGACCTAGTCTTGGATCATGTTACCTAAGATTCTCTCTCTCTCTCTCTCTCCCTCTCTCCTCATCCCTTCCTCCCTCTCTTTCTCTCTCCCCTTGCCCCCTTTCCCCACTTGTGCATGCACTCTCTCTTTAAAGTAAAAACAAAGAAACAAAAATAGAGATGGTAGGTAATTAAATTATGTGGTATTTTTTTAAAGTGACATGTATATATCAAAATGTAGGAGGTGACACAGAAGATCTGGAGGAAGGGGACTGGGAAGAGAACTGGCAATATTAAATAGGATGGCCAGATAGCTTTCAGGGGAAATGCTGTGAAGCATGGAAATATCTGGAGAAAGAGAACTTTGAAGGCAGGAAGAGCCATTATAAAGTCCTGAAGTTGGGAGACTGCCTGGCATGTTCCAGGAAGCAAAGGATGCTCAGAATGAGATAAAGTGACACACATAGAAAGACCTGGGGGAAATCTTCCAGACAGGAGACACTGAGGCTGGAAAGAGCTGGCTAGTGTGGGTAGGGAGTCATGGATGAAGTCTGCGAAAAAACCAAAGGCCTGCGCACAGAGGCCTTGTGGGCCACAGGGAGAATTCTAGATTTTATTCTATGTGTGGTGAGAAGCAATGGCAGATTTATAAACAGGAGAATGGCTTTATCTGCTTTAATTTTACAGGATGGTTTTGACTGCTGAGTAGAAAACAGAATGTAGGGGCAAAAATGGAGGTAGAAGGCTAATGAGGGGTCCGGAGCTAGATAAAATGTTGGCTTACACTAGCAGTAGAGGAAGTGGTCAGCTTAAATCTGTTGAGGGTTAAAGATTTTAAACAGAATGAACAGGATTTGATAATGGACTGGATGTCAGATATAAAAAATGAAGGAAGGCTCCTAGGTTTTCACCTAAGCAACTAAGTACATTGAGGTAATATTTACCAGGCAGGCTCTGGTTTGTTTTATGAAAGAATTCACCATGTAATTCTTTTCTATTACGAGTTTCACATACGCATTAAAAAGATGATGGAAATAAAGGTTAGATTTAGCACATCATATCAGAAATGAAAGTCCAGCTTGAATCAAGGTATATGTTTTTACTTAATACCTATTTTCATATATAAATGCTAATTAAAAATTTAAATGGATATTATCTATAAATCTACCATTGCAGAGGACAGAAACATCTCAAAACTAGTTTTGAATAATCTAATATCACTGTACTTTTTGCTTAATGAGAGTGAAAATGAGGTAACCAATACTACACACTAGCTATTAAACTGAAGAAAAGGCCATTTTATAAGCATTAAACTCCTGGGGCCCACCAAATGTTCCTACTCATTCACCTATGGGGAGGGTAATTACCATTCTAAGATTGCTAAAACAATAGAATATGACTTTATGTATTTTCCTTCAGGCTGAAGCATTTCAAATGTTCTTAAAAGTCACTTTCCAGGCTCCTTATCTGATTTATGAGAATTAAGGTAACATTACTGCATCACCTCAATCAAATCTGACAATACATTTCTTAACCTAATAAAAATTCCCCTCCCCCCATAATAGTAATAACAAGTTTATTTTGCTGTGAGGCATTTTTAATTGCATTGTGTATAGCTATAATTGAAATGTACCCATTTTGGGTTGACATTTTGATTATCCCACTAGCCAGAAAATAGATATTATGAAACGTTGAAAAGTAATTTTTCACAGTTTAAAACTGTTTTTAGCCATTCTTACAGTCATTTAATATTCTACAATCCTTTAAACATGGGAGAAAATTCTTCAAGTAAACTTCTTTTCTCTTAATATATTTAATATTTTCCCTTAAATATTAATTTCCCCCTTAAGGTTCTCAAGAAAAACTAAATCTTACTATATCCTTCTCTCAGCCTTAATCTGACCTTAATTTTGGAATCATTTTTGCCCTCAGTTTTGTTCAAAGATTTCTGTTTCTCGTGGTTCAGAGAATCCCCAGACTTTTAAGGCCCATGGCTTTTGATCTTGGTTCTGTGGCCATGAAAGACACATCAGAAATTTTATTTTTATTTTGCAAAGAGGCCCAAATAACAGAAAAGGATAGTTAAGCCCTAAATGAATTTAGGGCTATCACCTAAGAGGGAAGGGTAGTCTGGAAGTAAGGCTTAAATGAAATGCTACTAAAATGTTTAATGCCCAGCAAGGAGATTAATCTGACACAGAGAGGCAAAACTCATCAGTGTAGAAATCTGAACAATTTCCAGAACTGGATGTATTGGGGGTTGACTTGGGAGTAACGTCCCCTTTGAAGAAAGCTACCAAACCTCCTCCTATTCTATGCTGTCAGACGTAAGAAGAAGCCCAGAGTGTCTGGGTTTCCAGGGTAGGAGGAGAGGGAACATTGAAACTATTTCACAAACTTTTGTATCAAAATTTACTTTAGATATTCACTGGTGAAGAAAAAAAAAACAAAAAACAGGACTTGACCTAGTTTACATATGGTGTTATTCCCTCTGGATTGGGTGATGAGTGCAGTTCTCCAGAAGGAAATTAGTTACATAAGAGACTCAAAATACAGAGAAGAAACTGAGGGTTGCTTGAGGGGTGTGAGGTGGAGGGATGGGCAAAATGGGTGATTGGCATCAAGGAGGGTCATTTGTTGGGATGAGCACTGGGTGTTATATGTAAGTGATGAGTCACTAAATTCTACTTATGAAACCATTATTATACTGTATGTTAACTAACTTGGATTTAAATAAATTTTTTTAAAAAACAACAACAAAAAGAAGAAAATTGGTTATATCCGAGGTGGTACCAGAAAAGGCTGGGATCTTAATCTCTTCCATGGCCCCCTATGAATTTTTTTTTTAATATTTTTATTTATTTCTAGGAGAGAGAGAGAGAGAGAGAGAGACAGCGTGAGCAGGGGAGGGTCAGAGAGAGAGGGAGACACAGACTCTGAAACAGGCTCCAGGCTCTGAGCTGACTGTCAGCATAGAGCCCGACGCGGGGCTCGAACCCACGAACCGCGAGATCATGCCCTAAGCGAAAGTCGGACGCTTAACCGACTAAGCCACCCAGGCGCCCCGGCCCCCTGTGATTCTTAAGTCTTCTCTTATACCCTAGATTATACCTATAAGATTCAATGCTTAAACTTATTTTCTTTTTCCACACTCTCTGTCTCACAATATGTATTTCCAAAGATCTTCCATTGTAAGATACAACATCAAAAAAAGACAAACATAACCTCCATATTAAAATGTATCCCAATTACAAACTTATGAAAATGTGAAGCATAGAAACATTTCAATCAGGAAACATAATACTGTGTATTAATGATTCCTAAATCTACCATTTTTTTGCCATCGAATTGTCTACTAGCCATTTTCAGGTGTATATTTTACCTCTAAAGCCTGTTTTCTTTACTATTTACAGAAATAGTAAGAGTGCTCTCATTGCTCTCCATAGTCAGAGATGCCCTTTAACCTACACGTCCTACGCTGTGTCCAGTCTGTCATCCACACTGATCTATGACTCATACATGTTCTTTTCTTTTCTTTCTAAGGTTGAATCCTTATCACGGCATGCCTAGAGTGCCGGCACAGCATCTCAGTTGATGACCTTGCCTCTAGGCAGAAGCAAGGGAGACATCAACATGGTAAGTGTTCTTAAGTGAGAATTCCTCATTTTATTTCATGGCTCCATCACTTAAGATGTGTGTGACTTTGGGCAAATTACTTTCTTGTGATTCTTTTCTTCATATAGAAACTAAGTATAAGAATAGTACTTTATTCATGGAATTTTATGATTATATGAAGGAATACATGGAAAGTGTTAGAACCACATCTGAAATTCTAGCAGACATTCATAAGATATTAGCTACTGAGACATCACATTCCAATCCAGTTGACACAAAAAGTGTTAACATCAGCTTTACTAAAATATCAGTTAATTCAGCCATTAAATATAAATGTATTGGGGCGCCTGAGTGGCTCAGTCAGTTAAGCATCCGACTTCGGCTCTGGTCATGATCTCACAGTTTATGGGTTCAAGCCCCGTGTCGGGCTCTGTGTTGACAGCTCAGAGCCTGGAGCCTGCTTCAGATTCTGTGTCTCCCTCTCTCTCTGACCCTCCCCTGCTCTCTCTCTCTCTCTCAGAAATAAATAAAAGCATTAAAATTTTTTTAAAATATAGCAATATATTTACTTAGCAAATGAGTGTCTACTTTATTGTAGGTATTGTTGGTAAATTAAACCAACAAATTCACCAACAAGCAGAAGAGGTAGAGCGTAGATACAGATAGTAAACAATAAAACAAATATATGAACAAATAGTTTATATTGTGAGAATGGTTATGATGTTATGATTAAGATAAAACTAGATATGATGGATGTGGAGTGTTGTGTCTAGATTGGGAGGTTAAAACGTCGTAAAGGTGGCCACCTTTGTCTTTTTAATAACATCACATAACTGTAATCACATTATGTAATGGGTAAGCTTTTGAAACTGGCTTTCTCTCAGCATAATGCTTTGAGATGCATCCAAGTTGTTACAATTTCTCATTTTCACGATAAAATATGTTTTAAAGAACTCAGGAGCTGGGGTTTTTTGGTGTTTGTTTATTTATTTTGAGGGAGACAGCATAAGCAGGAGATGAGACAGAGAGAGAAGGGGACAGAGGATCCGAAGCAGGCTCTGTGCTGACAGCAGCAAGCCTATAGCAAGGCTTGAATTCACCAACCATGAGATCATGACCTGAGCTGAAGTTGGACGCTTAACTGACTGAACCACCAAGTGCTTGCAAGAAACCAGGAGTTTTTACACAGATATTTACCATTTCTGCTGTTCTCCCTTCAAATGTTACAACTTTCCTTTCAAATGTTACAACTTTCCTTCTGGTGTGATGTTCCTTCTCTCTGAAGAATTTTTTTAGCAATTGTTTTATAATGGTTTTGTTAGCTACAACTTTTCATAGTTTTCTTTCATCTAACATTTTTTTCTGCTTTATTTTTTTAATTTTTTAAAATAGTTTATTGTCAAGTTGGTTTCCATATAACACCCAGTGCTCATGTCCGCAAGTGCCCTCCTCCATGCCCATCACCCCCCTTCCCCTCTCCCCCACCCCCATCAGCCCTCAGTTTGTTCTCAGCATTCGAGCTTCCATTCTTTTTTTTTTTTTAATGTTTTATTTATTTCTAGGAGAGAGAGACACACACAGCATGAGCAGGGGAGGGCCAGAGAGAGAGGGAGTCACAGACTGAAACAGGCTCCAGGCTCTGAGCTGGCAGTCAGCACAGAGCCCGATGCAGGGCTCGAACCCACGAACCGTGAGATCATGACCTCACCTCCGACCGAAAGTCGGACGCTTAACCGACTAAGCCACCCAGGCGCCCCCGAGCTTCCATTCTTGAAGGATATTTTTACGGAATATAGAATCCTGGATTAACAGCTTTTTCCTAAAGCACTTCAAAATTGGCTCCACTTCTTTACCGATTCCATAGTTTCTAAAAATCATCTGTCATTGTTCCCTAAATGTAATGGGTCATTTCTCCTGGTGCTATCAAGATTTTTTCTTTGTATTTGGTTTTTAGCAGTCTGATTAATGATGTGTCTAATTTAGGTTTCCTTGTTTTTGTCATGTTTAATAATTGTTGAACTCCTGGAATCTGTAGATTTATGTCTTTGGTCAAATTTTACTGGTTTCCAACCATCATTTCTTCAAGTACTTTTTCAACACCATATTTTTTTTCTTCTGTGATTCTAATGGCATGAAGCTTATGTTCAATGTCAGTTTCATTTTCAAACATTTGCAGCATTGCCCATATCTGTCTCATACATGAACCACTTAGTTTGGTACATCGGTGGTGACTGATGGTCCATCTGTTAGTTCTCAGTATCTTTTGTGTTTAGAATCAGGTATGCAAATTTAGAGCTTACACGTGAACCCAGGAGTTTGTAATGACTTTATGGTTTCCCTTTTCTGAGTCCCTTCCTTTTTTTGTTTTTGACCAGAAAGCTGAGGTTTTAGTTACTCCACTCTGCTGCACTCTTTCCGTGACTCTGTGCACATCCCGGAACAATAGACAGTATGACTGAAAGAAGAGCAGTAGGGGTTCACTCCACCTTCTTGGGATCACAGCTCCTCCAGAGAGGAAGATCTTCCTCTCTTTGAATTTTTGACAGCTCCAGACTCCTATTGTCACTTACTGGAGCTGCTCATTCCATAGCCACTGTGAGTTTGTCCAGAAGCTAGTGAAGAAGAGAACTGAGAAATGAGAAATGAAACTGAGAAATGAAAGATTTCACCTCATCTCTGAATATGTCTCTGAATATTTGGAGACCTTTATTCCACACCCTAGACAGAATAAGAGGGTTTCTTCTAGAACTCTGTTTGCACCTTGCTGCTCTCTTCTGGTCTGGGGGGCTGCCTTACATCCAAGCCAGGATATACCAGAGGAAAAATGGGAAATCCATTGCCAGTCTGGTGTATGTTGAATTCTAGTCTTTTTCTCCTGTCTGCCAGCTACTATTTCTTTTTCAAAGACTTTGAATGAATTTCATTCCATGAATTCCTTTCAGGTTTTAGAGCTATATTTGATAATATATACAAGGTAGTATATACTTAATCTTTCTTACCCCAAATCAGAATTCCCACTTTGCTTTTTTAGTAATTAATTTTCAAATAATTTATCTATTTGCTGCTGGCTTGGATAAATATTCGATTTCTCAGTATAGTAATATAGAAGGTGACCACAGAAAAAGAATGAAGAGGGATCCAGTGGAACAAGTTGATCCTGGCTCCATGAGTCAAAGTAATTTGTAGTCTATAAGTACTAGGTCAAAAAGCTAGACTATGAATCATGTTTTCCTCATAACAGGGACTAACACACATTTATTCTTGTGCACCCAGCACTCACCATAAAGTCACATCTATGGTATGCATCAAACATTTCTTTCTTATTGAGTTGGATCAAGAGATGATGATGAAATATCAAGGCAAAACATGTGGCCAGAATTCCTGGGGTTTGGTTATCAGAAAATCAGCAAATAACTTATGTAATCACATTACCATTTATGGAACATTTTTGCCTCTCATCCTTTATGGGTAAGATTTGCCCCAAAAGACTTTGTCAGATAACTTGTTGAAACAGATATATGTAGTTTGCATGTTAATCTTCTGATCTAGAGTCTAGTGCTTATTTTTAAAAAGGAAATGGGATTTATTTTGGAAAACTTATGTTTAATAAATACATTTTGGTTTCTAGATGATGGTGTCTTTTGAATGATTACCCACCAGCTTTTTAATTATAGCTTCAAACTTATTGCAAAAGTTTATTTATGATTTCTGGATTGGCAGTGGCCTGTCATTGTTGAAAATGTGAACAAATTGTATTGCTATATGTACTTATAGCATTCTGACTGAAGTAATTTAATAAGAAATATTACCATCGTTTTTCTACCTCAAATCCCTCATTTTAGAAATGAAGAAATTAAGACTCATAAAGATTAAGCAACTTTTCCAATAATTCATAGAATATTAGTAAGAGGAACAAGACTGTGGTATCAATCAAGACTAGAAGGCCTCTAGATCCTACATTGACTTTTCTATTCTTACTGCAGTCTCTTATAGTTGTTTTAACAGCTGTTACAATATCTGAGAGATTTGAACTGGTTTTTACCTTAAGAGTGTAAAGCTAGTACTTCTATTCTATTTACAGTTTTGGAAACATGTCAGCAGTTTAGACAACTGGGTTTTATTTTTTTCTCAAGATGCAGCTCCAAGCATCATGTCTTCAAACTACATATGGAGACATGAATGTGTTGGAGAACGCAAGACACCTGCAATTCTTCTAAATCACCAGGCTATAATCACTTCCTTCCTTATGCTCCTCACACTTATATGTTTCTCTCTAAGTTTTTTGTCTGGAAAACATCATTACTCTAACATGAAACAAATCTCTGCCTTTTCCACCACTGTGCACTGAGTCCCTAATTGTATATGGAAAGAAACATACCATCATGCTAACTCCAAAATGTGTATCTCTATCTGGACTTACACTGGATGTTCTCCTGACTCCACATTCACAAAGCTGCAGACCACTTAACACCTGCACCTCGATGTATAATAGGCAGCTCTTTGTTTACAGGTCCAAAATTAAGTTCTGCGTATTTCCCTCAGAACTTTACACTCCTCTTTGTGTACCTTTAATTGGAGTTGTTAAATTTTTTTAGCCTTAGTATTTCTATTATTTTTAATACTCGGAGTGAACGTTTCCTATTTCTGGCTTTCCTGTCTTTAAATATATTAACATAGTTGTTTTACAGTATGTCTTGATCATTCCAATATCTGAAATCTCAGCAGGTATCCCTCTGATATCTGTGCTTCTGCTGAGTCTTGCTGTTTCCTCATATGCATGAGCAGATTTGTATACCACACATTACTCTAGTGCAAAGTTATACACGAAGGCAGACCAGCTGGGTGTAATGAAACACTGGTTGATCTCGTCTTGTTAGTGGTTTCTAATCTTTAATCTTTAGGAAATTAGAGCAAGTCCCATACATCTGTCTATCTTCCTTTATTACAGTATTTGCAATTAGACTTATCACTTACTCATCAACTATTTCATAGAGTAAATGTGTTTCTTAATGTTTTGCTCT